GGTTTCACCAAGCCACCCAGCCGGCACCAAGCACTCAAAGCACGTTCAAGTGCATCTCTCGATGGCAGTGCCGCTTTAGGCAGCCCCAAGCTCAGCTGCCTGAGCCCACGCTTTAACTGCCCCTTCAGCAGTGCTGGTATAGATATCCCTGTAGGACTACATGGGAAGAACAAGTATCTGGGTTTAAAGTAACCACTCGTGGGGCCTATTTTTCATTTAAGTCCTGTCAACAGTTTTATGAGCACAAATAAGGTGATGGTGGAGGGTTCAGAGATGATGGCGGCAGACTAGAGCATTCATAGCAACACCATCACCTAAAACCATATCCAGAATCACCTTTGGAGTCTTACTTAGGTCTGCAGTAACATTTGATGATTATTACTGGGTGGTTTTTTAGACTTCAATATCCAAAATCCTCTTGTAATACAAAAAAATTGTTGAAGCCGTATCACACGCATTTTAATAATCCATTAAGCTTTCACACAGATAGGAGTGCTGACACGGTGAACGTGCAGCTGCTCTAAGGAATTTCTCACTCAGCTAGCTGCAGGAAGGAGCAGGAGGTGGCCAGGCCTGGGCTGTCCGTACAGCTCCAGCCCCACTGCTCGGCAGGTGAGCTGATCCCGCTCTAGCAGACAGACTACAAAACACCAGCGCACTTCTGAGTAAAAACATTCCATCTTCGTTCATAGTAGGGCATCACACCTCTCCTCCTCCTTTGGTTTGTGGAACAAAGTTTGCTTTGGACGAGATGACGGCCACCCTCTTCACCGAGCAAAAGGGTGAAATGGCTCAGCCCTCCCATTCAACCCAAAGCCTACGTCAGCAGTCGCTAACACTCCTGCAGACACACCTTCCTTTTACTGCATTTAACACCCCGCAGCTACAAGACCCTCAACAATTTGTCCTTTGCAGGAGTGTTTCACAAATTATGTTAGGCTGCCTTAATCAGTTTAACAAAAAGTCTGTCCTTTTCCCTGTTTATTGCTTCTTGGATATGATCAGCTTGCATTATTCCATCACCCAAGCCCCGTGTATACTGCCAAAGGAACTGGGAAATCCGATCTCACGCAGTGGACAGTAGAGCTGCTCTGCGGTAAGGTCAGTATTTGTGATGCGAACGTGGAGAGACCAACCTGAGGGCAGACAGGCCCTCACCCCGGTCGGCAGAAGTGCCGGAGCACAGGAGGCTCAAACCCGCCCAGCTGGACCCGCTGCAGACCGAGGTCGGGAGGAAAGCCCGGAGCTTCGACACAAGACTCCGTCTTGCACTGCACCTCTTGCACTGCGCTTGAGAATTACTGTGGTTAGGTAACAAGATGCACACCAGGACAGCCAGAACACTCCCTAGGAACTACCTCAATGCTGGAGACACCACTGCCCCGGAATAAAGCAAGTGGTGCGAGTCCCTGTATGCTAGCTGAGTGAGTGAACAGGGCAAAGGCACGGCAGCGTGTCAAACCTCAAACCTTCACTTGGCCTTGCTCATTAAAGAAGCACTTAAGGCACTCGGGCAAGGCTTCAGTATGTTTTATCTAAGCTAACACAAGCAGCCAGGATGTCTCTCCCGGCATCCAGTGACAGGGGTTGGGGGACCAGGGCCCAGGGATGCACCCCAGGCAGCTGTGCTGAGCGCCACGGCACGGGCCGTCAGTCACTGCCAGTTCACTAGAACCACAGTCCTTCGGGAAGCTGAATTGTCTTTCTTCCTCCGTTCCTGCAGTAAGAAATGATTAAAACATTAAAGCCCATGAAACATGGTAAAAACAGAAAGAGGAAAAAATGTAGTAAGGGTGGTTTAGGATAAAATGAAAATAATCTCAGAAGTTACTGACTCCAAAAGCAGTGACGGCATTTTGTCTCACAGGGAGAAGTGAATGGCAGTTGCTCCCTGAAAAGCAGTGATATTGTGCATTACAGGACCACTGTTGAGAAATATTAAGATACAGTGTATCAATGTGGCCATTTTCTAGTTATTTCAACAGAAACCTTAGAAAAACTTGGATGTTAAATTTTCAGCCAGCTGGAGATTCACTCTCTTAAAACTTCCACAGCACGTTCATCACACTACTGCACTACTGCCAACAATACCTTATGAAGTTTCATAGAAGATTGGATTTGTAAGGATAGACATCTTTGTATGAATCACTTCTATACCGTGTAGGCATGTGGAAGAGCATATATATGTGCACGTACAGCAGGTACACAACATTAATACATACAATTAACAGATACATACAGGTATTCTAAAACGATCTATACATATAGTCTACATATATTTTAACGCACACATACACACCCACCGGTACTGTGTGTGTGCACACACGTATACGCATGCTGTGTCTCTTGAAAGATGCAAAGTAGAAGGAACAATCTGGGAGAGAAGGGTGAAGCAGGACACATGGTCACAAAAATGTTCTATCCCGAATTTTGCAAGTCTGGTCAGAGTGAGACCAAACCCACTTGTGGCACGACCCCAGAGCAGCGCACAGGCTGCCGCAGCACAGCCCTGCAGCGCCGACAGCGCACGCTCCTCCCGCCGCACCCCAGCCGGGGCCTGGGCCCCCTGGCACAGGGAACCACCTCGGTGCTCTCTACACTGACTCAACGCTGCTCTTACGCCACACAATTTCTGCTCTGCTCTCTTTATGATCTTTCTTTGTAGCATACCCGGGGTGGACTTGTGGGCAGAATCTGTTCCAACACATTCAAACAGAATTTCAGTTCAGTAAGTTCAACAGGTCCACTGATACCTACTCAAAGAATACAGCAAGCCCCAAACTCGTTTTTATTAATCAGTGAAGTTCCTTCTAAGTTTGAGAACATGTTCTTTAATAAGCACTCCAGCTACAGCTCTGCAGGGAAGTCAATCCATTTTGAAAAGTTCAACATTTAAAGCATCATATACTATACTTACAATTCAAACAAATCTGTGTTTTAACTGTGACAAATTTTGCTTTGAATTAATCTTGTTGCGAAGAAAAAATGTTTGCCAATGAGATGTTAGAAGTGATGTTCTGACAAACCAGATTCGGATTTCCATTTTGCTAAATTCACTGCTTCTATAAATAAATACTTTTAAAAGAAAGAAAAGAAAGTATGTCACAGTGCAAAGAGTGAAACATCTCTATTTATTCACCTTAATTCAACTGCACAGGTAACACACGCGGAAAAAGAAGTTACCTCAAGTGTTCCATTTTTCCTTCCCGTCTCCTGCTGTCAGGAAGTGATGAAAGCAGAAGACCGTTTAAGGAAAGAAAAGGTAGCTTCAAAAAATCAAGCAGCAAAAGGAGAGGAGGCACGGGCCTAGGAAGGGCTGCTCTGACATGGACCTACTGGGCAGGCTGGGGAAGCAGGGGGGAATGAAGAAAGGATGGTGGGAGGATGGCCAGGCTCCCCGGGCTCTCCTCTCCTTAGTGCCACTGCGGGAGACAAAACCCCGAGCTAACTGCGCCGTTAACACGGCCCAGGAGGACATTCCTTCGCTCGTTACACCAGGGTTTGTCCACGTTTGGTTGGTTTGGGGGTTCCTTTTTAGACAGAAGATACAGATTAAAATATGAAGACAGGATGAAATTTTTTCCACCTTGTTTCCTGACATACCAGCAAGACGGAAATCAGGGTAGTTTAACACCTTCCCCCCCGCCCAGTATCTGGAAATGAAAGGGTGGGACATTTAACAGCAGGATAGCCCAGCAGGCCCCCCAGCAGAGCAGCCGGGAAGAATCTAAAGCCAGGGAGTTTATGGGGGATTCTGCCAAACCAGAACCTCCAAATGGGGGTTCACGAGTCTACACTGAATTTTGTTTTGCTTTTGAAGAAAACAGCCATTTCTGAGAGGGGCCCATACTTCACATGGCCGTATTTTGTATTTTTGTGGTTAATGCATGTTTTCCTTCATGATTTTTCAGAGAAGAAAAACCTGGAAAACACAATGGTGGTCAGAATGAAACCACAGAGAGTGAAACACACAGGACTAACACCTAATGGGAGTAAGAACGTAGTGGTTGCCCCAGCTCCATCCAAAGGAAAACCCAGGAAAGGTCTAAAATTCTGCACTGGTGATTAAGCATTCCTGATGGCAACAGATGCTGCACATTCAATAACCCACTGTTACACTGGCAGTAACAGGAAATGCCCAGGTCTGCTCTTTACCGATTTAGCACAAAGAGCAATTCCAACTTGGTGAACAGTGCTGGACTGAGCAACACCCATAAGAAGAAAAAATAACGGAAATATAGTTTTCCACTGCCTCGAGATGCCTGAGCTGACGCAGCATTGTCATCCATTCCGCGTTATCGTATCTGAGATCCTGGTTTTTTCTTATTTTACATCCCCTTTCACAGGTGAATCATTAAGAAACTAATCAGAGCCAGTGCCTCAAAGGTATGGTGACTAGTGCAGCTCTGAGAGACAGGCGCTTCCCGTGGCCGAGTGCACAGCAGGGCACCTGCCGAAACTCAGAAGCCGACTTTGTCAAATCTTTAAAAACTTGTCTTGGTGAAAAGGGACCAAGACTTGAACACGGGCTGTTCAGAGTCGACAGTGGCAGAGATTCCTTACAACCGAAAGGACCGAGTTTCACGAAGGTCATTTACAGAGCTGCCCCCCGGCCGCCAGCGCCCAGGGCGCCCAGCCCGCTCAGAGCGAGGAGCCGCAGGGCCCCGCCGGCCCTCGGGTTCCCACGAGCTCGCTTCAAAAGTTTCAACACACATTTCTGAGTAATAGTGGAGCTGGGCTTTGGTTTGGCTTTAATCAGGATGAACACCGTAAGACGGAGAGAACAACTTTTTTTTTTCCTGAAAAATAAAAAGGAAATCATGCGCCTTCTTTTAATTCCATCTTTCTAATAAGGCTACAAGTAACAAAACCTTTAGTGGAGTAAGCTTGATTAGCTTATTCATGAACACAGTTCAGATTCTTCTGAAAAAAATGTCAAATTCCAAATTGCACAATAATAATCCAATTCCTGCAGGAAAAAAAAGACAAAATATGAACAATTAAGTAAAAGCCTAATTCTATTTTGAAGTACATCACCTTTCATCACGGATCATTTAAAAACATCGTGAGTATGTTCCAAACAAGTACTCAACAAAACCAGTAATGAACATGTGGCAAAAGTACAAAACTCCTTTGCGCTATTGACAGATCATTTCATTTTAAGCATTAACACTAGCATAAAATATCTAGGCGTTGTTTCATTTAATTTTGAAAATACCATATAGAAAACAATGCTCATAATTCCATCCACGGGATTCTACAAAGCTGCTGCTTCACTCAACAAATCTTTGAACCGTTTCAATATGAAAATTCCAATTTTTTCAAATTGCTCAAAAATAATTGCAGAAAATTTCCAAGCACTTGGATCGAAGCACAACCGAAGTATGAAGTTGGTACATTTTTGCAGTTGATTCTAAAATAAGTTAATTTACATATGTAGTCTCAAAATAACACAATGGGATTCAACTTCATTTTAGACATTTGGAAAGCAGTGTAATACTTTATTTAAAATAAACCCATGTAAAAACAAAGTTTAAATGAAAATGGTACCTGAAAAATAAATTATTTGATATAAAACAAATCAATAACTTAAAAACACACTAAATATACAAAATGTTTAACCATATACTGTACAGTATGGAAAACAATTGATAAAACCTTCTGTCCCACAAACAGATTAATTTATAAACAAAAGATTACATAAGTTAAGGGAAATTAAATCAATAAAAAGACTAGAAGTACAGTATTATTCAAAATTACTGGTCAAATAAAGGTTTATCCCAACTTATGCTTCAAATGTCTCAAGTAATTTTCTTCTCAATGACCAAGTGAAAAAGTTCAGCTGTACGACTGAAAAGTTGCTCAAAAATGTTTAGAAGTAAGGAATAATAGTATGCGAAAGGATTCTAAAACGTGAACACAGTAGCAATTTTTCAAGGTTTCAGGTGGCAGTTCTACTATTACTGATTTTCCATCATTATCAACAAAAAGAATTTAAGTGCTGAAAGTTCCACTCAACAGAAAAATATTTCTGGTTCAACCTTTGTCAATGTTTTACCAAGTGTGACAGAAAACAAATGACCGCAGCAAGACGGAAAAAACAGCAACAGGATTTAAAGTCCAATCCACTCACTGGGTGTTGTGTTTTGCTTTAGAGATCGTGAAGGCTTCAACTCGTTTTTAAATCATGCAGAAGGAGAAAATGACACAGTTTTGTTTCGTTTCACTACCTAAGACTACTACAAAAAAGCAATAACAAAAGTGATGCTGTATCTAATTAATTTAAGAGTGGACACTTAACTGCAATTTTCCATTCTGCCAGCTGTGTCATGAAGAAGTCACAAAATATGCAGGTACCACCTCCTACAAGCAAGAGGGATGTAATTGCGACCCTTTTTAGGAACTCCACATTTTTTAAATTAATATGTAAAAAACCAATACGGTATAATAAACATTGAAAATAAACACTAGCTTTTTGACCTTCATATTTATCAGTTCTGTCGTGCTGAGCATCCAACATTGAGAAGTGCAGAGCTACGTTAGTGGAACTCGCCTATGGCAGACAGTCTTCTGCTTCCAAATATAGAGATTAAAGTACTTAGGGTGACAAATTCAGTTCAGGGGTGGGGTGGAATTGAAACAAAAAAAAAATAAAACAAGTGCAGCTCCACTAAGGGAGCTCAAGGGAGCTGTGTTTTCTTATGCTGACTGGGAATTTGGTCCCTCCACTCTAAAGCTATTCTTAGGAGCCTAGAAGTAGAAATGTTACAGTAAGGTGCTTCACTGACAGTGTTACAAAGGACAAATTTCCTCATTACAGAAGTCAAAGATAGGGTACCCTTATGACAGAGGTAGCATTAGGACAAATCGCTCTGTATTTGATTTCTGTGATCGAACCATGATATCACCGTCAGCAGCTCACAAAAAACTGCATGTTAAAAAACCTCCCACAAACCCTAACATTTTGCAGGTATATATATCAGAGGACCTACTTTCAATAAACAGTTTTTTATTATAAGACCTGTTTATTTTGTTAAAAAAGTAAACATGGGGACATTCCCGAAGGTTTTTCTAAAAGCACATGTGTAACTGTAAACTATCCAAAAAGTAACTTCAGTTATTACAGTTCAGAATACACTGAAAAAAAATCTCTCCTGAAGTATTTGAAGAATCTCTACTTTATTGACCTTACCCAGAACATTAAAGCAACATAAAATTATAATAAATGTTTAAGGACCTTAGAGACTATTCATTTCCAAAACTTAGCATTCAAAATAACGGATCACCTTTACAGTTATTTCATCATTTTGGTTTTAACTGCTGAACAGTGTTTCTATAAATGTAGCTATGCCAATTTTTTTTTTTTTTTTTTTTTTTGTTAAAGCTTCTTAATTGCTTTGTATAAATAACATTACTACGATGTTCAACGCCCCTAAAAAAAACCGGTGTCCTCTCCACGCTGACACCCTTTGGTCACCGGGACAAACGCAAGCGATCATAAACTGACCAGCTCGTACTCACTGCAGGGAGAAACGTATCTGACTTCAGTGACTGCGCCTCTGCGTTTTCAGTGGCTTTCATGCTATCATGACACAGATACACGAAAAAACGTGACCAACCAAAGGGAAGGGAAATTACGCGTGGACACCGGCCACGGTGGGGACGCTGGTCGGGACAGGGGTGTTTCCTGACCCCCCCCCCGTGGGTGCCAGGCCCTTCCCAGGCCCAGGGCGCGCGGCAGCCAAGGGCTCGGCCCCCGCTCAGCCCAGGAGGCAACGCTAACTGCAGCGCCGGTTCCCCTCCCTCTAGACACAAGGGTGGAGCACAGCGTGTCGGGGGAACCAAACTGAGGACCACGTAGCTTGAAGAACAAAATAAATTCAACGCTTTAGCACACAGACACCTTCTAAAATGGAATCACAGGAGAACTCAGCACATTAAGCCGTTTTGATTCCACGCATGCTTACAGCTTTTCTCATGTTGCCATCTCCTCATCTGAAGGCACTGTACTTGCCTCTGCCAATTTATACAAAGTACACAGCAACATTCGTGTCCTTTTCTGTAGTTACTGTGAAATTTCCCTAATTGCAAATGATTAACAAAATTTCAATTGTGATTAGGCTTCTGGCTAGCTTTCTGCACAGGGGTGAATTCCATTCATAGTGGAAATCTGGGAAGCAATTGTAAGTTGCCAAATAGGAACAAAAACTTTTATTAATAAATCAACAGACTGGGAAAGACCAAGTCTGGATAAAGTCTTTAAGGAATTTTGGTTTTGACAAAATCTCAAGTTTTTTTACATACTAAGAAAACCTGATTAATTTTTTAAAATTTGTTTTTATTCTGTACAACACAACTAGAGACCAGAATATCTTCAGAGAAATTTGCTTAGAGGTGGTTTTCAACCACGACCAGGGCAGTTTTGCTCTTAACTAGGCATTGTCTCATTTTAGAGTGAAACTCCACCATCCTGAAGAGAATGACGACTGCTCATGTGCAGTTTTGGAAGCAGCCCCATAACAAGCGTGTTCAGCAGCCGTGCCTAGGCCTGGTAAGAGACTACCTGGAGTGTCAGATACAAGTAGTATTTGAAAAAAGTAAAGAAAAGGATAGGTATCAAGGGCAGCAGAACTTCCCTTTCAAAAGAAATACGAGATAAACCAAAGTGATTCTAAAGGGAAGAGTGACAAAGCGATAATTAAAATAACACCAGATATTCAACTGGTAACATTTCCTGAAAAAGATAATTGGCTTAACATTCAAAGCCCTGAAGTCACGACCCTGCCCTCACACAGAAAGATGCCTTTTTGTTGCCACAGAAGCCAAAGGTGACTGATTTGTACACGGACTTGGCTCAAGGTCAGCAAAGTGAAAACCCGAGGTGACTCACCACCTGAAAAAGTTAGAAAAGCAAATGCCAGTTTCTGCTGAAGTGCTAAGCATTCCCATCCAAACAGATCCTCTCCTGTCGAAAGCAGGTGAGCTCTGGACACGAAGCAAACAGGTCCATTTGAAAACAGAGCCCAGCTGAAGCCTGACAAGGGTATCCCCGGCCCTGCTGTTCGCATTCGCAGTTGGCAGATCTTCAGCTCTGAGGCTAGCTACCCTGGCCGAAATGAGACTGATGAAAAAGCCTCTCCCCTTTTCTTCTTCAACACCGACAGATAAGCTTCTCATTTTGTCACCATAATTGTCTGTCTGATAAGGTGTAAAAAGGAAATGGCGTCACCAAATTGCAGGTTCACAAAAAGCCAGATAGATCCCTTCAAAAATGCTGGCACAAACCCCCTATGCCCTTGGCCTCCGAGGCACCGCAATTCTCTTCAACACACACGCAAGAGCCTGCAGCAGCAGCGTGGCCGTAACTAGGCGTTTTCATCGGGAATTACACCCGATCCTTCAGTACCTGGAGGTGTCCTGAGAGGCTTTTAACCTACTCTAAAGGACCCCAAAACATTCCCATCACAGGTGTTCCCTGCAGCACAGTTCCAGCATGGACCATTAAATCCAGGTCTTTGAAATATGATCATCCCGTCCTAATCCAGCACTGAAGAATTTCTAGTATTCTCTATCTTACTGAGGCTACTGGATCTCATGAGAAAGGTGAGACCTCTGGTTTGTGACAGGTCTTTGGTTTTACAAAGACCTTTTAAGCACAGAGACAGAAATGTCACCTGAAAAAAATGTCTATGTTTCATCAAATTAAAGGATAAAAAAGCAGAGTCTATCCGCAGTTTCTCTAAACTCCCTGAGGATTAAGAGGCAAAAACCTCTCTTCAAACAAGTATGTCCAAGGGAGAGCTTCAAAGGAGGCTATGCTGGGTGGTGTGGTAAGCAAAGCAGTTGCTCCCACCTTTTGGGCAGCAAAAACCGCTGGCAAGTTACTTGTTATAATTTTAGTTTCCACTTCCAGAAGATTCCTTTTGTTTTTTACTAGTAGGATGCACGGGCTATTGTTTAGGACCAAAAGTAGGAAGAATATATATATTTTTTCTTGACTTCAGCTATTTATGTCAGGTACTTCTTGACTGTTAGAATGGTGCAGACCGTACACTTCTGGTACCAGCTCTTGATAATTCAGCAGGTTTTTTTTCTCCTCTTTTCCTGCTGACTCAAGCAGCAGTGCTTTGCTCACACAAATTGCCTGGTAACTATTTTCAGAGCTACTATCAAAGAAAGCTGGGATTAGATGTTTCCTAAAAGAGATGTTTTCATACCACTACTGAAACAATTTCCTGTATTTCCTTCTTATTTAGCAAAGAAAGATGGAAATATAGGGAAGTAGTCAGATGACAGCGATGCCAAAAAGCCTCCAAGAAAAGTTTTTAAAAAAAGTGACAGCTGGTGAGCTCACAGCAGCGTGCTGCCAATACGGTTGCTACGACCAGCATGCTTGTTATGATTACTGATGCAAAGTCGTATTTTGGATGTCATTTGTTGGAAGTCTGAGCACCCATCTAAATGCTGTGATAAAACAGGAACTCTCATTTAGTTTGAAAATTAATCTTACATGAAATAAGGCAAGAGAGAATGACAGGGAATTGGAAACGATGGCAGACCCTCCTGTGAACCAGGACAGTGTCAATTTAAAAGGTGATGGGACACAGCATGAGGACATCCCTACACTGTGCTCTTTTAACTTGGGAGAGAACCCCTGAATGCGGCCAAATTCCTTGTACACAGAAAAGTAGTATCCACTGAAGTGATAAGTGAATTATGATAAATTGGTGGAAACATCTGGGACAGCCTGAGAGCACACTTTGGGGGGTCGGAGTCGGTTGGTGGGTCTGTCACAGTCACTGTTTTACAGACCATCGTGCCTCTCAAGAGATGGCAGAGTGAACAGCACTGGCAGGAAAGGCGAGGCTGAACCTAATAGCAAAAATTCCAGTGACGTTCGTGGCACACGAGCTCAAAGCCAGCGGGAGGCTGTGCACTGTGCCAGGGCCCATCTACTCGGCCTTAAGTGTGCCATAGGCAGTTCCAGAAATACCAGCAGCTCCCGGGACTCTGCTGAAGGTAATTAATGCAGAGGGGCAGCCAGTTCTGCTGCTCTTCGGTGGCAGGGTGCAGAGATGGCGATGCAGACTCCTTCGGGCTGTGCAAGACTGCAGATCCTACTGCGGAAGAGGAGAAACAATTGCAAACACAAGGCAAGGCCAGCTACGAACGGAGTGACACGAGCAGGCAGCACGGAACGGCCTCTGAAATTTGACAACAAGCTTTGGGACTGGTAGAGGTTCACGCAAAAAAAAGGAGACACTGCAGTAAAAGTGCCAATGACCTCCTATTCATGTTTGATCTACCTTCTGGCAACTGAACATAAACTTTAGACCTGGAAGTTGCCCAGGCTGTGCTCTAGTCATGTACAGTATCCTTACGCAGCCTTTACCTGATGGAGTAATCCTTTCCAGGTCTCCTACCATAGAACGCCTTCAGGGTTACATCAGTTCGTGGCACACAGAAACTATGTGACAGATTTATTGTTGTGCTCTTGTTTCACAACCCTTCTTCTTCTACTCATCTGTCAAAGGAGTAACTTAAAACTCTTTAAAGAGGAATACAGTTTTTTAAAACAACACTCTTTGAAAGCTGGACACTTCGTGCAATACTTAGCAAAAAAATAACAGAAAATAAAAAACAAAACAAAATTTGAGCAAAACAAAATCAAATTTAATGTTCTTAAATGCAAAAGTAAAAACAAACAAAAAACACAAAAAAGCAAAAGAAAATTAACAGAAACAGAACAACTCAAAGTTTCAAGGCAGTCTGCAGAAAACTTGGGGGATTAATCTTTAAATCTACAAATCAAAGGTTTTTTCTGTTAATATCTAACTTGCAAGTAGTAAGTACTTTTCTGCTGAGTGTTCAATAAGTAAAGCTAGTTGTCAAAACAAAATCCTATTAAAATAGAAAAATCTAGCACTCATTAGAAGGGATGCGAGAAATACAATGCTCAAATGTTTATAACTGTTTTTTCTTTACAAAATAGAACTACCAAAGGAATTCAAACTATAATGATCTTTGAAAATGAGTAAGTATCTTGCTGCATTATAATGTACCAGTAAGTAGTGCACCATGCATTAAGTATTTGGACAGAAGAGATTCAGTTTGATAAAGTAGCAACATATATTCACACTCTCTTTTTGGAGTTTCATTTTGACTCTGAAATCTTCCCGGAGTTTCTCTGAAACTCTTTGGTCCATTCCTCTCAGAAAGTGGGCTTTAAAAGTAATGTTTCTAAAACCTTTGAATTTGACAGCTTGGCCACTGCTCAGTGTGCAACTTACCTCATCAATGGTGTTAAAAGTTATGCTGGCATGCTACTACTTACAAGACCTTGACTTTAAAAAGCCTAATCCTCAACTATATATGTAGTAATGAATATTAAACGATCAAACAATTTACTGTCAACTAAAACATTAGTATTTCTCAACTTTTCTTCCATACTAGTGAGTCTGGGGTAGAGAAGGTCAGGGGAATGGGTAGGAAAAACAACAACATAAAAACCAAGAAAATTAATTAATTCAGCCTGATATTTTTCAGAAAATTCCAGTTTTTGCAGACATTCAATGGAACAAATGTTAGTCTCATAAGTGAAAGCATGCTTCAATTTTACCACCATCCAGAGGGTCTAGTTAATGCAATCTACTGAAGTTTTCAGGGGATTTTTAACATGTTTTAAATGAAATAACTTAAAGGAACTTAAAATTGGTCTAACATTGTGGGATTTCAAACATTTGAACATGTCAGTTGCATCCCAGAATATAAAACCTTTTTCACTTCTCATTTAGACTAAGACAAACACTTGTGAAAATTGGCGCAAAATGAGTTTTACACTAACAAAAATGTTTCAACTTCTGTCACTCAATTATCTATTCCATACAAAAAGCACGAGCAAGTTATTTGTGGGACTTGTTGGTTTTGAAGGAAACCTGTAAGATTTTGTCCCCCAGGCGGTAGCCATTAAGACTTGCTATGGCCATTGCAGCTTCTTCATAGTTTGTCATGGTCACAAAACCAAAACCTTTGCACTTGTTGGTGTTGAAATCTCGAATAACTTTCACATTGGTAACCGCACCAAAGGGGCCAAACATCTGCCAGAGGATTCCCTCATCAGCATCTTGACCAAGGTTGTAGATGAAGATACACCAGCCAGAAGATGCGTTTCCTGGAACATTTACACCAGAAAGCCCACTCATGTGATCTACACCCATAGGAGAGAACCTAGCAAATAAAAAGCACAATATTTCATGTAAAAGTTCAATTCAATTAAGCAAATTAACTTGAATGGGAAGCAACTGAGAATGAGTATTTTCTACATGGACATCAAAACCGCCAGAAAGAAATGTTTCCCCATTCAAATTGACAATCAAATTGACAGCTGCCAGGAAAAAAAAGTTAAGTATTCCAACTACTTTATCAATAGGGAACTATCCTTAGAAATAGGTAGGCAACAGAACAGTTGCAAGGCAAGCTTACATGATCACCTTCACAGGGGACCTGGATCTTTGAAACTCAGCTAGTCTGTTCCGAGTGCTCCATGGCATCAGGACAGAATTACTCGAGTGCAGAGAACGGGCAACGCCTCCCCAGAAGCCCCAGCTTGCTTCAAGCCACCCTCAGGCATCTCCCACTTATTTTGCTCAAGGAGTTTGCATTCCATATCCTCCTTTATCTTGCCTCTAAAATAGTATATTGGGAACTCTTAAGTCAAAGGGTTTCTTTGGGGTTTGCTGGGGTAGGGGAGGGAGGGGGCGTTTTGTTTTTAGGAGTTGAAATTGTGGTGGTTTGGGTTTTTTTGTTTTTGTTTTTGTTTTGTTTTTTGTAGAATAGAGTAAAACCTACTCCTTTTTCTACCGTAAGGCAGCAGGTGCAGGTGAACACTCCCAATACAAGCAGGCTACTAAATAAGCCACAGTCATGCATACTCACAGCTATTAGGCAGCTAAGGAAATATTAGCACTTAGTCAATTCTCAGTAGCTGGTATGCCCCACATTTCTAGCTATAGAATTTAAATCTCAGGTTTTTACTCCTTAATAATGGTTATGCAGATATTCTAACTGCAGTAGCTTTCAAACATCAAAACAGATAACAACATTTAAGTATACAGTTTTACAATTTCAGTATGCATGTATGGTTTTCTTCTTACTAATTTTATACCAACTTCCTATTAGGAGAACTTATCTGACTTTACTGAACTGGATTTTTTAAATCACCTTCCTAAACACTGCCTCCTGCATAGTACTCCAGTAGTATTTATACGTAACAAAAAGCAAAAAACCTCTCTTCTATGTCTTGCTTTGTATTATTTTATTTTCTCCTATAACCTACGTCTCTAATTCCCCTTTATACTATTTCTGGTCTCCATTCTAGAAATTCAAAACTTCAGAATATTTTACTGCAGTATTACAGTTGCACAGCTAAGCACTCAAAGGTCAGAAAATGTGAAAGTTAACGTAAAAAAACTCGATTTGATCCCTTGTGCTTATGTATTATTTAAAAATGTGAGGTCATGTGATTGTAGAAATATAATTATACTATACCAGGGGTTCCCAAACTGTGGTGTACCACTGGTGATATGCAAACCACTTAAAAGCGGTACACGTGCTGCTCTCTGCCAAGAACATGGCGGTGGCAGTTCCTGATTCTCTGCTGACCTGGAGAAAACAGGGAATGGATGTCTGGGCAGTGAACGCTGCATTAAGTGCCAAACACTTCCCCACTGACTTCTGCTTGCCCTGCATAAAGATAGGAGCTGCTGCTATCTTTATAGAGAAGGGAGGGCTCAGGGCAACACGTATCAGAAGGAAGGGGAGCAGAGCTGCAGCAGCACACACATACATACAGGGAAGTCAGCTCATGTTCAGTGCGGCACTTTGGTTGATGCACTCATACAAGAGAACCACTCAGTCACCATCTCCCCCGCCCCAAGCTCTCCAGCGCTCACGGAGCGCTCATTCCCTCGGACACCTGAGCTATTACAGCCTCCTGCACCCAGAGCGGGGGGAGCCCCGGTGGCAGAGCCCTTCCTCTCCATCAGCCCCTAGCTGCTGCCGACTGCCTGGAGGCAGCCGGAGCCGAGGTGGCTCAGCCAGGCTGCCGCCCAGCTGGCTGCCTGACACTGGTGTTTCCAGAGCACAGTGCGGACACACCGGAGCTCGTGCTGCACATACTCACTGCTGCTGCCACTGTTAGCCAGCCCCAAGCAAATCCAAGTTTGGGAATCCTTGTACTACAGTAAAACTGAAAAAGCAGTTAAGAGTATCAGAATGTGAATGAGACGCACTAATCCATGTGATCTGATGATTATGCGGTGACATATCTACTATTTATTTTGCTTTTAGATAAAAATGTTCCTGTGTTGGCATGCTTTATACACTTACTTTTTTCTGACAGACACCTTCAGCTCTGTAGTTTCTTTCCATTTGAGTAATGATCTGGGAGGATGTATTTATCTTAATATCTGGGAAGTTTTCATCTCAACAGATCACCAGTCTTGGGTTCCTGCTCACATATATGGGAGCAGAAAATCACTAAGCTCAGAATTGCATGGTGTTGGTTCCAGCAGTCAGTGTAGCTCTGAACCTGCTTCCTATAAAGCCTCGGGCTCTGCCCATAAGCCCAGATCAACAGTACATCAAGGACTGGAAACACTTGTAGAAGAGCAGCTGGGTGTTGAACGCAGGAAGACAACAAATCTAAATGCATATTACAGGCAAAATAATTTAAAATAGCAAGTACCTCTGTTCTTTGGATACACTAGTTTTCAGACAGATTCTCCTCTCTTCCTGCTTTGACTCACAAAAATGTTACAGGTTTATTAAAAAAACAAAAAGCTAAAAACACCCCTAAAAGACTTGAAAAGTCATTTGAAAAAAAACACCATAGGAAATATCACCTCACACATAATCTCCTTCTTACCCAGATCTAACACGATTCTGAAATGAAGCTATACTTTCCAAGTTCACATGAAAAAAAACTTTTCACAAAAGTTTCTGGTTGGTTAAAAAACAACCATCAAAAATAATTTGCAAAAGCGACAGTAAACATGGTATAGGATTAGACCTATGTGGAAGGCTGAATTTACGTTTAGACTTGCAACCACCTGGAAGCACGACACAGGACATCTGCCATGAGTGAGAGCACACACGATGAGTAGAACAGGCTCCTACTGCAACTCAGCTGATCTGATAAATCTCTATGCTTATCCTGGACTGAAGGCCTGCACAAGAGGGACACAAGATCTCTCGGTTAGGTTGGGATAACAGCCTGTACGTAGCCAGGCAAAGAGCAGCTGGCGTAATACTTCTTTGCCTTATAGGAAAAGATTTTTTTGACCACACAAATTTAAGATGACTCTTAGGAAGTTATACTTACTAAGGATGTTTAAAAGACTGTCTGATTTGGGCAAACAACACAAAAGCCCACAGAGATCCAAGATGTTTCAGAAAAAATGTTGTTTGAATTACAATATTAATGGAATTCTTAAAATCTCAGTCGTCTTATCCTTACTGCTGGTGTCTTCTTTTTTTATTGTATTTATTTTTATACTGTCTCCTCCACATTGCTTTTTCAATCCTTTCTAAGCATCTGTAGGTTATGTCACCCATGGATGACTCTTTTAAGTCATGCTGTCCTCAAAACTCCAACTTCTTGTGGCATTAAGTATTAACACAGCGTATTTTTAATTGCAATCTTTTTCACTTTGTAAGTTTCTCAATTATATGAATGACCTTTTGTTCTACTATTATGAGACAGACAGCTTCCTTTAACAGATTTTGGGACTATTTTAACACACTATAAGACAATCTCAGAAATGACACTCCTAAACAAAAACAATTTCTTTCTAGTTCTATGAAAGTTCTATAAATTCTTTTTGCTGAATTATCTTCACTGCAATCCGAGAACAGCTATACATCACAAGTGGGAGCAATCCCACAGCTTACACAATGCTAATGAGCAGTAATATTTTTAATATTAGCCTATGTTGCCTTCGCACATGAGCTTGGCATCTTTTTATTTGTGAATAGTTTCACAGAGCAGGAGTTCAACTACACTGATACTGGTCATGTTCACTGTTTTCCCCACACGGAAATTCTTCTCCTATATGCTAATACAGATAGGAATGATCTACTGTGTACAAAATGAGTCTTGTTGAGAATTCAGTGATACAAGCTTTAACCCCAAAATAACAGGGTATTAAATCAAACAGCCACATATCAGAAAGCAGCAGCAATCAAAATAAGGGGTTTCAATACCACATTCTTCTAGAGCTTCTATGAAGTACTACTCTGAATGAAATGTTTGCTTTTGTGGCATTCTCAATACAGACAACTTGCATCTAAATTGGCTTAGAAGTTGAAAATTGAAACAATTTCACTGGAGTGAAAAAAAACAAAAACAAAAACAAACCGATTCATGGGAGCTGTCCAAACAATAATGTCAGCAACAGGGTTAAACACTCTAGAGTCTTCTCAAATTTCCCCTTGATCAAAGAATTATCAAGACATAACTCCCCCTTTTAGGCATGTTGGACCTAAGTCATGGACTCCTGTATCAACAGAAGCGTGTCTAGTGGGAACTGGCTCCAATCCTGAACAAGTTTGAAAGCAAAACCAGCTGAACTGGGAGTATTTTTGAGATCTGAAAGAACATTCTTCTAGCATAAAGCTCTAGTGAACTGTAAAAGCACAGGACTTCTAGGGACTTTGGCCAGCCTTCTCAAGCTTTAGGAGCAAAACTGCTTAATTTCAGAATTCAACACTTAAAGATCTGGTATTCTGTTTAAGTAAAATCTTACACTCGAAAGAAACCCTTGACCCAGATGTTTTCTCTGTTTCCTCCAAACACAATCCCATGCTGCAGCACCACTCCTCCTGGATGGAAACTGAAAGCATTTTGGACTGTGTCTCAGAATTAGCAGATGAACCTAGCACTGCAGTGGGGCAAGGCATTAAGAGCAGTTCCTGATGTGAGCCACAAATACCACAGGAACTACAAAGGATTAATAGAACATTAAACAGAGTCTGAGCGATATCTGTAGGAAATTAATAATTACAAATTAGAGATACTAAAGGTTTAATCCTGGATTTACAGGGATATGATGGAATGAGATGAAGTGTAATCAAAATGTCAATTTAAGTATTCAACCTTTCTGCAGCAGAGGCTACAACTGTAATTTATGTAGACTGTGAGCTCTTTAGAAACAGCTTAACCTTCATCATGCTTTGGTCACTACACAAAACAAATGAGATCCAATCCAAGCTAAGGTTCTTAAGCTTTACTACAGTATGAATAATTATAACTCACTAAGTTCAGCATCCTTTAAGGAATATTCACTAGAAGAACTTGCAGTTAACACCGAAGGTGTGAAGAAAAATAAGAAGGGCTGTGGGATGGTGTATGTGTTGTGCATACATGTACATACGTGTACAGATGCATGTGTAATTGAGGGAAGGAAGTTTTATATTACGAGTTAAAAGTTCTTGCAAGTCTGTGACAAGACATGAATAGAGATGGACAGTTCTTGTCTTCAAGTCAGCTGGTGAATCTTGTCTCCACAGCATATTCATAACCACATGGCTTAACCCAGAATTGCTCTGTTACCACCTCTGCCAATCTGTAGTACCTAAAAATCTTTAGCTCCTTCCTCATCATCAAGCCTATAACTAGGAGAAGTTGGCCAAAACGGGTTGGCAAATGAGCACTGGGTACAAACAACCCGAGTGCACATAGTTACCACAGAAGCAGGAGTGGAACAGGGAAACAGAACATTTTATTGTATCGCCACTTGTGAAAACCTGTGCCTGTAGACACATAGCAAATGCATGCAAATAACACTAATCCTGTTGTTAATGGTATAATAAAAGAACAATGAAGGAACTGGTCATTAAAATTTAGTTTCAACTGAAACTATTAACATAAATATATTAATAATTCTTACTGCTACCAAGTGATCATTACAGGACAGAATTAAAGTTATTTCGTAACTTAATTGTAGATGTGAATATTATTTATACTACTTATTCTGATGCATCTTAATTCTGTTATAAATTTTAAGGGGAAGAATGATGAAAATGTCCAATTGCATTAAGAAAGAAAACATGAGATATAAGCCTCATGATTTCACTCGGACCAGGACACACTGAATCTCTGGCTACTGCAAAAGACAGATGTGTAAATTCAATAGTTCACCTAATGGCCAACAGTGAAGAGTATCATTCCTTGGTGTGCCTTACAGGGGCTGGCTGCAGAGATCTAGGTAAGCGCTTCAGAGAAATGAAATCTTGTTTGAGGAGCTGCCTGCACTAAACTTGCCTGGGCTACAGCTGAAGAGAAATGGAAAACAACTGAGGTTGGCAGGGACCTCTGGAAATCTTCCGAGTAGATCTCCCTGCTCAAAGCAGGGGCACCTAGAACAGGTTGCTCAGGCCCATTCCGGCCCCGTTTTGAGCATTTCCAAGGAGGAATACTCCACAGTCTCCCTGGACAACCTGTTCAATCACCCTTAGTGTAAAATAACAGATGACTATAAAGTACTAATTCTCATTGGAGACACATTAGCATTTTAAGAACAGCTAGGTGTAAAGGAAAGCATTGTGAAAGGTCACAGCAATACTGGAACAGTAGTACTGCAAAAAGCTATTTGAGTTTTTTAGTCCAATTTTACTGAGCTAATTGGATACCTCAGAGGAGAAAAAGAAGAAAGTAAATTCTCAACAGGGAAACACTACTCTCAAACTCTCATGAACACATTTCATAAAACGAATTACTTATCTGCAAGACAGCAAATATAATGCATTTTCCAGAGCACAGTCCAACTATCAACATCCTCCATTAAGCAGCTGAAGCAATTAAAATTCAAACTAAGCAACTAATTCAATTCTAAGCAACTACAGCAATACTCAAAGGCAAAATACAGAATATCCTCCACAGCTCTGGAAGGAGACAATACATCGCAATTACTCAATAATCTTACTGAACTTCTGAGGACTCATGGAGTGACAGAACACTGCACAGCTCAAGATGTAGGCAGAAATCTCACAGAATCTCTCAATCAGAATTAAGGTCTTCCTATTTTACTATGACACCTCCCTGCTGGAACCAATGGTTCAGAGCTTTAAGTTGCCAAATTGTATCTGCATTCAGATATGTGGAGTACAGAATGGGGATCTGTTGAGACAGGCACCTACCAATTCCCAGCTGGAATCTGCTGCTTTCTATCATCTCGCTATGCACTCAACTAGTGAGTAGAAACAGATACCACAGTGTATGGATCTTTACATGATTAACTTAAATATCAATTTTACAAGTAAGATTTTTCTTAAATCATATTTTAATTCAACGATTTATTTACATAACACTGCAGGACATACGGTGCACTGTGTATTCATTCACGCATGCTGCAATGGAGGTATTACTGCACAGCTGCAAGAGTACAGTCTCCCAGACGGACACGGGCATAGTAGCACAGCCTTAAATGCATTATTCTTCCTAACCTACCTGAATCTTTGCGCCTGGTGATGCACTGGCCCTCCAAACCGTCTAGCTGGTGAATGACACAGCTGCGATAACAGTGCCACATTTTTGTTCTGGTTAGGATTGGCTGCAAACTTCACTGTAATGGGTTCGGAGGAACCTGGGGGTTTGTGACCATTGAAATTTGTAATTGCCTCTTCTGCTTCTGACCTTTTGTCAAACCGGATAAATGCGACCCCTCTGGACAAACCTTTTAACCAAACCAATAAAAAAAAAAAAAAAAAAAAAAATGAAGTTCAGGATAAACTCAAAATAACTTTGAAAGCAAAAAACAAAAAAGTTAAATATTTCGATGGTCACAGCTTTCAAGTTCTCTACATTTACTAATGCTTCAAAATTAAGAAACATAAAACAGATTAATACATTCATTTCAGCCATAACCACAATGACTCAAACACTTAAAAAAATCCAATGTGGTAGAATTCTATGAAATCCATCACCAACTGACATTTCCACTAACAAAAAAAGCCTTGCAACATTTGAAATGGATTAAAAAAAAATTAATTCCAGTTGGTTAAAAACAAAACAAAATTCCTTAGTTTTGATTACCACTAAAAAGCATCTGCAAACACAAAAACGACACTGATTTTTGCAAATATTTTCAGTTTTCCATGCTGAAAACACTCTGGTTCATAGGTGCAGGCACGAAGGTCTAACTGTAATGAAGTAGTTTAACCTTTTGTAACGAAGACATCACAGTTTTATCTACATCATGTCCGTTATTTCTAGCTGTCACATACCTTATTTTTAATTAATTAAAAACTGATTAAGAATTACCTCTTGACAACTGTACTGAAACAATTACACCGCTGTTAAACATTCATGTTTTCTCCTTTCCCCCCTAGTTCCAGACACCAGCCTCTGAATGCTGTAATCCTGACTGAGGCAGAAGTTATGCCTTAGGAGATCTCTCCCCCACACCCTTCACTTCTCACCTGTGACTTGACAATAGTCTGGAAATATTCTTTGTGACAGTGAAGCTAAACCAGTACTTTTTGTTTTAATTTAATTCCAAAGCAGATATCGTGGCTAGATTAATTCTAGGACTTTACCAGCTGTGTTTCAGAAAGGGCCATATCATACACTTTTATGTTGTCCCTACACTACACCCACACAGGGCAATCTTCAGAGATAGTTTCACAAGTCGTTTATCATAAATCACGAATTAGTTTATAAAAATTGACCATTATTCCCTATATTTCACAGAAGGAAATGCCATGCGTTTCCTTTTTTGCCGTGCCTGCTGCATGACAAAACCCTGGGCGTGCAGCAGGCAGGCAAAGGGAACCCAGCCCCTACCACTGCCCAGAAAATGGTTTCTAGGAAAGGCATATTTTTATTTGGGGCACTAGGAGAACATCCATAAATAACGACTCATCTTGTTTACTGTATGTTGTTAAGTATGCAAAGTCACACAGAGAAAGCCTATCTCCTAAGTCACTGCACTTTTTAAAGGAAAGAACTGTAGAACAGCAGGGGATGGCCAGCAGCAGCTGTGCGGCTGGTGTTTCCAGTGATCTGGAAAGGAGTCAGCCTGGGAAGCAGTTATTCCATTTTTTGATTTCCTGCAGGTTACTTCCAAAACGAGAGGCTGGACCAGAAGTGCTCATCAAATCAGAGCTGATGGCACTATGTGCTCCAATACCAGGGAGATTAGCATTTCTGTGCTGGGAGGAAGCACATGCCCCACCCTGGGAAGACACAGAACAGGGGCACTGCCCGGGAGTCAGCAAAGGCTGTCCCAGAGCCCAACTCATTGTTACTTCTTCTCCACTTCCACGCTGTTCATCTTAGTATTTCCCACTTGATCGATCACAGCATTCATTAGAAAATATAAATATTGTAAAAGGGATATTTTTAAACAGATTAATTCTCAAAAGCTAAAGAAAGTGTATTTAAAAACAAAAATTAAAATTTGTCCTAACTGGGACTAGATCAAGATATGAAACACAGGTTTTAAAGCCAACCTACGGCTACATTCTTGAAGGGAAAGGCTTTGCATGCATTGAACTTTATAATGTAAACAGAATACATTCTTCAAACAATACATTACGGTTATTTGAAAGTAAGCAGAATATTCTGCGCTGACACTGAATTAGACAGCATCATCTCTCAGCACACTCAATGAAAACTATATTACTTCTGGAGAAATTTTAATTGTATGACTTCTATCATCTCATTTTATCGTTCTGCCAAGTAAGTATATGCTAGCTAGCTAGCTAGCCTCCACTGCCAGCCAAAGAAGGACGACTATTTTGGACACTTGTATTAGTAAGTTTTCTGTGCTCTAGAAGTCTTTCTATTGTTTCTACCTATAGCTGTCACCTAGATAACTAGCTCTAGAGAGAACCATACAGACCTCACAGGTGGACAAAATTAATCCTTCTCTCTAGAAAAGGATAGGATTTTCCTCACTCAACACTGGAGTGTCTACAATGTCAGTATCCAGATCTCATCTAGTCACCTCAGATCTCTCTTCCACACAATCAAATTTGCAGTGTGGTCTGACCAAATCGAAACACTTAAAAGCAGGTGCCTCCACAAGGAGCTAGCTCTGATGGAAATACTTAACACTGTAGACTTCAGCATTTAGTCAGATTAATCCCTCCAAAACCTGTTGATGGCCTACTCTAAATTACAGTAGATTGCTCACAGAGCATGAAAGCTGCTGCTTAATTACTGCACATAAATGTACATACTACCTAATTGCTTGAATTAGATTATCTTTTATTCTAATATAACACGTGCATAATCAAATAAAAAGTGCATTTGAAAAAGTTGTCTCAAAGTTTATATGTGACATATGAGCTACTGGAAAAAACACAGAACACCTTACATAAGACACACTCTTCAGTTATATAGTCTGAAATAATTAGGTAAGAAATTACAACTCTGAAAACACACTATAACACAGAGTCAGAGTTAACATTATAAAAGAAATCCTTAACTTTGGTCTCTCCTGACCTGTTTGCTTAACTAAACTTCTCCCTTTTCCTTCTCTCTCTCTTTTTTTTTTTAATAAACAAAATACATTCAGAAAATTCAAGAGGGTAGGCTACTACTAAGTGTATTAAATTAATTCTGTTGGTTAGCAGTAACCACAGAGGACTAAAACACCTCAAATGTTTTAAAATATGAGAAAATTGTATGAATGAGTTCCAAGCTGGTATAAAAGACAAAACGCATTATTGTTTTGCTTTTTAATATGTAACTACAGCCTGGAATTTACCTGTGGATAATAGTTGCATATGTGTAAAATAAAGGTAATGTTAGCACTCCAGATTAAAAACATTGCCCAGAAGCACACTGCGCTACAGTAATATCAGGTGTCATAGCAGAAGAGTAATTTGGCAAACCAGCAGCTCAGCCTCACAATAAGAGCATAAAATATGCTACAAGGTTTAGACTGTAAGCTAGCAGAGGAGGCAGCTAAGTCATTCTGTGTTTTAAAAAAAAATCATTGGAAAAGGATATCCCATTAAAATTATATCAGTGGCTGACACCAGATGTCATTATTAGCTTGTGAAAGTCTAATTTAGTTTAAGAACCACCAGTCTCAGAAAAATGTCAAACATGCTATATACACTACAGTTTTATGAAGCTAATACAGCAGAACTCACCTGTAGTTTGATCCACAAGGACGCGAGAGTTGATGATGCGCCCAAAACGTGAAAACATATCTTCTACATCTTTCTGTGTCATTGACCTCGGTAGTCCACTAATATATAAATTAGCATCCTTGATAACTTCAGAACTTGGACGAGCATAGGAAACCTGTAAAAAGAAAAAAAAAAAAGGTATGTTTAAGGTATAAATAGGAAAGAATAACTTATTTTGTTATGAGTCACTTTCATTTATTCCCCACTAAACAACATAGGCATTTTTTACTGGAGCTCAAAAAAGCAGAACAAGTAGGGGAAAATTGCCAGAAGAGAAAACTCATATAGCTCCATTAATTTGGGGCTTATCCAACAGATAAAGAATATAATGGCATTGCTATAGAGAGATGGCAGTAGACTAATATCAATGCTTCTAAAATGCGTATTTGCTATATTGAAGAATCCCTGTCTGAAGTTCTGACTGATATTGGATCTGTCAGTAACCACAGATCACACCAAGAACTTGTGCTGTCAGTGTATTTTTTAAATCTTCATAAAAAGATTTTATCAGCTGGAGTGCAGTTTTCTATCTTAATTTCTGCTACTAGACAGAGTTACAAATATCACCTAAGCAGCTATGATTTCCTACATACACAGTACTAGCTGTTATTTTGGAAAAGGAGTACATGTGTATTACCACATTTAAAATAGAGATCACCAAGTATCTGAAATGTATGTGAGTCCTAAAGCCTGGCAACATTTTGGAATGATCCCACCTACTGCTGTAAAAAATGGTGGGAATGAAAAAAGGGGAATCTTTGAATACAAAGCTGTTACAGAACCTGAGAGGCTAAACACCTCACTTCACTACTCTCTTTCTAGATTCTACTCCTCTTGCAGCTGGGGAGCACACAAGCCTTATCACCAGAACAAACTTTATTAGAATGCCATTTTCATAGAAGACTGAAAAAAAAAAAAAAAAAATCTCGACATCCTACCTTGATAGTTTTTGACTGAAGTCTGAGGCCATTCAGTGTGTTTATTGCTCTTTCAGCATCTTTTGCAGTAACATAGTTCACAAAGCCATAGCCTAAGCTGTGCCCTACATGGAAGAACATTTTTTAAAATTAATCCTAACAAAAGAAAGTTCTCACCATCAAAATTAAAGGAAATGCAAATGAGAAAAAGTGCACTCGAAATAAACATAATCCACACAGCAAATATTTAAATAAGCCAAAGAAGTTTCCCAAGGCTGGCATACATAAGCTCTTCCATTTGCCACTTCGGTTATCCCTCTGTCTTCAAGCACGGTGCGTATCAGGCAGCCACAGATCCATCAACAGCAAGAAATTCAAGACTAAAATATAGACTCTGAACAGCCTTGTAAACTTAATGGGTATCAAACAAAGGCAAGAATTTCACAAAGTTCATTAGTACAAACTCTTGTAGATAAAAGAGAGGAAAGTGAGAAAGTGTCAACGGATGAACTGCTAGGTAAGAAATCATCAAGCTACTCTTCTCTGGAGCTATTCCAACCTTCACTCCTGGAGACAAGAGGGAAAAAAGTTTTCAATCCTTCATACATTCCAGTTAATGAGCAGCAGTAAGTCTCCCAAACACAGAATGAAACTGAAGAATGAAAAATTGTCTTTAATGCAGACAATTCATGTACTATTATTTTACATAAGTTTACTCTTAAGTCTTAGAAAAATAATTTGAAAGTAATTGTACAAGTCTTTAAAACATTTAAGGCAAAGGATATTTATTGGGATACTTACTTGTTCTGCTTCTATCTCCAACCTCCACAAATGTTGCTATCAATTATAACACTACATACTAAGATCATTTTGGATTGCAATTTCCCAACAATTACAAGCTCTTATCACTGTAGACCTAATAACTAAAATACTTTCATGACTGTCACAGTGCAATAAAGCAACTCCTATTCAGTAAAGGATACACCTTTTTCAGACAACTTCTCGTCTCAGCCACATCTATGGGATTTTCTAGAGAAAACTGTAAGCATGCATAGGAGAATGTGCTAGTTTACTTTAACAATATACTATTTTTAAGTTATTATTAAGCTCCATTGTTGGTCTTCTAAACATAGCTAATCTTTACGGTAGAGGATTCTCTCCTGAAATATAGCCTTTTTTAATCACACAGTGTGGCTTTGCAATAGTCTTAGCTGGCAAGGAAGTTTTCTTAGCTGTCCAGACATGTCAGAAACACCAAATATACCTCTCTCCCACCCCACCTCCAAAAATTAAAATGGTGATTATCCTAGCACAAAATGTCAGACAAACTGAAGAAAAGGGCTGTACCGGATACTGCAGATTACCTCCATCTACTGAAAAAACAATCACCAGTCTACTGAAGGCATCAAGGCCTACAAGTCTGAACGCCACAAGGGATGGAAGGAAGCTCCAAATAACCCTCGCAGCGTTATTACTAACAGCATACATGATAGACTGACTGCAGAACAATTGCAACAGCACAACTCCCTGGCCTGTCCTCTGCATTTGCCTGCTTTGTTGCAGGCCCCAGTTAATTTTTACTGTCTGCTAAAGCTCTTAAAGAAGCCACATCCCCCGTGTTCAATCCTTGCTTGAGAACAACATCCTCTTCTCTTACAGGCCTAGTGTTAAAACATCTCCACTAGCACAGCTCAAACTCTCGTGATGCCAGGCACTTCTGCACAATTATAATGGCAAATCACTCTTTGATAGCCAAGTAGGATTTAACTCTTCATAGGAAACAAATTTAATAAAAGCAAGATCTTAAACACCAGTTTCTGCACCTTTATCCTTTAAAGATCTACAGATAACATTGATCAGGATTTTGCAGACATACCTTACATGTAATTGCAGCAAGTTTTTTGGTGATTTCTTCGTAACATTCATTTTCTGTTTCATTAGTCAGAGATGGTCAATCACATTGATCAAATCTGTTAAGTCCACAATCACTTACCTACTGAGATTCTTTTCCCCTGATTAAGATGACAAATAACTTAACAATTAGAAAAATGTTTAGCACCTGGACCGGGGCTTATTTCTGCAGAATTTGACCAAGAAAAAGATAAGTTTAGGAGGGAACAAATATCACACAGACAGCAGGCAATGACTTTTTCCCTCCTAAGAGGGTGGGAAGAGTCTGACACCCCTCAAAGGTCCAGCATGCCAACACCTGTTCTGAAGGCTCGGAGTACCAGCTGCTTCTATAGGTATTTTCAGTCTTTCCCAAAAGCCCCGTAAACATGAATATTCTAGCAAACTACTGAATAGAACCAGGTCCTAATAGAGTTTATGGAAATAGGCCCGTAAAGACTGTGGAAATAGCCTTCAACAAGACTAATCCCTCTGAGTCTGAACCGCTGAGTCCTGGCGGTCCTGGCTGTCACTCCCCTGGCAGGCACTGCACGGGGCTGTGGGTGACTATGTTCTCCTGACAGAGGAGAAAGAGCAGGATTCCACGTCGTATAAATTTATTAAACTATCTTCAGCACTCTGAGTAATGGAGAGCAGAGGCTCAGCCTATGACCAGTGAGAGTGGGTATCCTTCCCTATTTTCTCACAAGTTCCCAGAGAACACTGTAGGCACACAACCGTTACTCTGCCAGCAGCTTTCCTGTAAAGCATCGGACAGGTTATCTGTTTATGCATTGTTTGAAATCAGTGAGAAGGAAGGTTAAGCTGCCTAGTTTTGGTTTTATGCTGTATGTAATTAACAGCACTCATGGACACACAGGACCAAAAAAGGACCACATGTTCTGGGTCCAGTTCCTGTAACCAAACTGTACGTAATCCCTTTCCCTAAAACATAATCAAGCTTCACATTAAAAGCAGTCAGATTTTTCTCCCAGGCACTCTAATTGAATGATTGTTTTACAAATCCCCTCCAATGCTCTTCCTTTTCTAAATATTAAGAGTCTTCACACTTCATATCCATTCATTCTTGCACAAATACTGTCCTTGAGCTTAAATACGCTTACCCTTCTAAGTGCCTGTTCCCTAAAGTACACACTAGCAGTGATAGCCCCTTTGCATTCCTTACTGGTTTTGTCTGAGCAAAATTCTGCACTTTTCCCACTTCTAATTTTATACAGGTTGCTCAATGACTATTCAATGACTGTCAAAGATTTCGAATGTCCTGGGAAAGAGAGCAGGGACATAATGGGGTTTACAGAAACACACATAGATTAAAAAAGAAGGGTCTGAAAAGTGGCAGGATTACAATTACCAGATTCTCATATTTGCTGTAGATTCTCATATTTACTTTACCAGTAAGTTTGTAAGAAAACCCAGAAGTTATAGTCCTGTTAACTTTTACCTGACATAAGAAAACATCAATTACCCATCTTTCTCTACAAAAAACTGCAATACAGACCCTCCCACCTAGTCTGTACTTACCACCTTTAAATTACATCAGTGTAACATGACTTATCAGTCCTTAAGTGCTAAAAAAAGCCAACCCACGCCAACATATATTAACTTATCTTGCTCTAAATACTTAATACCAGTCTCAGGCATCTCCTGCCATGCAGTTACTAGTTTTCACCTCTAAACAGCCTAGGATATCTAACACAGCAGTCCCATCACTGCAAGAGGCATGTTCGATGGTTTCCCTGACAGATCACACTTCAGGAATGCACTCTGCTTCACAATTTTACTCCATATTCCCTCCACCTAAGCAGTACAAACTACCTTCCTTTTAGGGCATGTCATAAAATTTATAAGGAATTATCTTTTAAACAGCATTATGATTTATGTCAAGTGGTTATCCCAGGCAAGAAGACAAGTTATTTCCTTTACCTAGCCTGCTAGAAACCTCTTATGCAAAAGAAATCAGTACTGCGACAGTTTTCAAATTATTTCAGCGGAGAGTAATTAAAAACCCTTCAGAAAATCTTTTAAAGTTTATGTATACGCAAACACAAATGTACTCAAAAGACAAAGATTTAAAAAAAAAAAAAAAAAGAAAGGAACAAATAGGTCCTTATCTGGATGAATAATTAACAAAGTGACCATAAAATGTGGTTTTAAGCAAACTACTGTACTCCTTCAGTAGAAAGAATCTAGTTTTGTCTCTATGATAAAAAGCCCTTTCATGAAAGAGGGCACTCATTTTCTTTCTGTGCATCACTTGGTTTTCTGTCCATGTCCTTGCTTCCTTTCCCAGCTCCCTGAGATGCACTGCTTCAGTTACTAGCTCATTTCTTATTTCCCTCCTGCTACTGACTGACAATTCTAGTTTCACTGGGGAGTCTAATGAGACCAGAGTAGTACTTATTTTCCACTTCACTACAGACTGGCTGCCTTCTCTGAAAGCAGCTAACACAGATTCTCCCCACACCATCCTTCTCAAGAAAACTTAAATTTGAGCCTGGCTCCTGTTATGTCAAAGCACTTCAGTATGAAGGCATTTTAGTTCAGAACTTGTTTTTTGAACTTGGAAACAGTATTTTGAGATTAAATTTAAAAATCCGAAGTAAATAACACAGAAGGATGGAACAGATCTCCCTAAACGTCACTCAGGGGAGGATGTGGCATCTTGGAAAGAGAGCTGGGTTTGGGTTTTTTGTTTGTTTGGCTTTACAAAATGTGCTGTAAGTGATAATCAGATAGCTTAACTATGTATGAATGCATCAAGAAGTACCTCATCCAAACACCAGACATCAACATGCCAAAAAAGCAGAATTCAAAGCAGTGACTCTGTAGTTTTAAAGGATGACAGCAGATTAAAAGTGCTCAGATGTGCCTTGTGTGGGCTTTCTTTAGTACAGTTACACTAATGTGTAGCTGGGGATACATCTTCACATCAACCCTGAAAAAAACACAAGCACCCTTGCATCAAACTTCCAAAAAAAGGGTTATGCCAATGCAGAAGTGCAACAAGGTAGGATTGGCAGAGCAAGTGATCAAGAGGCTATATTCTAACCCCGAGAGGAGTCAACACTATGCATACAGCATCTTTTGTTTCCTAACATCCTAACACCCAGGAAAACAAACAGATGTGTCAGCAGAGCAGCCTGGCTAAGGAAGGAACTCATGGCAGAGCTCCAACGCAAACAGGCAGCACACAGGAGATGGATGAAGCAACAGC